TTTCAGGCAAAATTCAGGCTTTTGTGATGTGACTCAGTCGCAGCTTAAAAGCCTGAATTTTGCCTGAAACTCTCAGACTGAAGAAGTCTCTTGGAGGAGAGACGAAACGTTTCATTAGAGAAGAACCCGTCCAGAAGACCTACACAATTTTTTTTCTTTTTGATTTTTTTTACCTGGATTACTGAGATGCATCAGGACAAGTTAAAGACAGTTCTGGACAATACCAGCCATCCCTTGTACACTGTTTTCTCCTAGCAGATGAGCAACCTCAGGGACAGATTTGTGTCTGTGGGCTGTTCAAATGAGAGGCATTTTTTGTGCCTTTTATTACGTTTTTAAGTTTTATAATTTAGTCTTTTTAAGGGTAGTTATATGAGCAACAGATTACTTCATAATTTTTACCTCCTAACATGTAATCTCTGTGTCTACGTTAGTATCTGTTTCCGTCATGACATTGGCATTCAAGCTAAACATGTTTTACCTTTTTTCCTCCAGTTCTATACAAGTTTGTTCATCGTCCTTGTTTTCATCAAGATCCCTGTCGTCTTCCTCTGCAGCTTGAGAAGTCACTGACAACACTTCTCTGAAAAACATTGCCATTATTGTCCCTGAAGTTTCACAACAAAAAGAAAATTTCTTGCACAAAGCCACCTGCTTCCACTGGTGGGAGCAACTGTAACACGCAATCGTTTAGTCCAATGACTTATGATTTAGTCCCTAGATAACCCATTGATTTGACCTCCTACATCACAGGACCTGCAGTGCGCACACATACATTGTGATGACAAGATACCATGCAGCTAAACTTTCGTTATAATTTTCATAATATGCATTTTTCTATTTATCCAGCTATGTCAGTCTCTCTCATGCACACACACACTAGGGTTGGGCAATATTGGCAAAAAAAATTAATCATGATTAATTGTGGTATTTAGCCGATAGCGATTAATTTGACGATTATTTCCCTGGAGTCCCTGGACACTCACGTCCTAGCCACATGACCAATTTAGTGGAAAAGATTTGCTCTTCTTAAAAATCTGTTCCAAATTGTGTCAAAATTACAGACTTCAGGCTTTAAGGTCAAATTTTAAATTATGTTTATAGATAAATAAACTACTGAACTTTTATTTTAATGTTTGTTATATTTGAAGCGGAGAGGAGCACCGAGTTGACTCTGCCTGGTGGCATTAATTGTATTAATCGTCAAGTGCCAAAAAATAATCGATTAATGTTTTTCTGGCGATTAATTGCACACGATACGATTATGCCCAACCCTAACACACACATTTGTTCATATCCTCATGGGAACTTTACGTTGCCTTCAGTTCATTTACTGGTTATTTCCACATTCTAACCCTGACCCCTTACCCTAACAGTACATACTTAACCTTCACCCTAACCTGAACTCAATTCACAGTCCTAAATCAAACCCCTGACCAACCAACGATATTTCTCCTGATGGGGGCCTGGATTTACCAGTCGGACAACATTCCTACCCTCATCTATGGTCACAAACTTTGGGTAGTGACCGAAAGAATGAGATCGCAGATACAAGCGGCCGAAATGAGTTTCCTCTGCAGGGTGTCTGGGCTCTCCCTTAGAGATAGGGTGAGAAGCTCAGTCATCCAGGAGGAACTCAGAGTAGAGCCGCTGCTCCTCCACATAGAGAGGAGCCAGTTGAGGTGGCTCGGGCATCTGGTTAGGATGCCTCCTGGACGCCTCCCTGGTGAGGTGTTCTGGGCACGTCCCACTGGGAGGAGGCCCAGAGGAAGACCCAKGACAAGCWGGAGGAACTATGTTTCTCGGATGGCCTGGGAACCCCTTGGGATTCCCCTGGATGAGCTGGCCCAAGTGGCTGGGGAGAGGGAAGTCTGAGTCTCTCTGCTTAGGCTGCTGCCCCCGTGACCCGACCCTGGATAAGCGGCAGAAAATGGACGGATGGCCAGGGGCTGGGATTTTGTTCCTATTAGGAACAGTGGGTCCTCACCAGTCTGTGTGTACTGGGGAAAGGGTCAAAAATCTTCCCAATCAGTCAACAAAATGTGCTCACGAACACTAATATTAACAGGACATGTGAAACATGATGGGAGTATCATCATGGCTTTTGTTGCTGCAGGTAACAAAAGCCCTGACCTTTTGTCCCTGACCGCTATCATTTGTGAGACCATCCATAGACACCCCCCCGCAACACACACACACACACACACACACACACACACACACACACACACACACACACATAACCAGATATAAAACTTGACACAGTTTAATAATAACCATTTCAATTTTGCATCCATCTACAGGTAATAATGCCTTTAAGTCACCAGAGGACTTCAAGGTGTCCCTCCCTCTTCGCACCAACTATCTGTACGGACGCATCAAGAAGAGCCTCCCGGAGATGTACGCCTTCACCGTCTGCATGTGGCTCAAGTCCAGCGCCAGCCCAGGCATAGGAACCCCGTTTTCTTATGGCGTGCCGGGCCAGGCCAATGAGATCGTTCTCATCGAGTGGGGGAATAATCCCATTGAGCTGCTAGTCAACGACAAGGTACAGTTTGTCACTTTACTGTTTTTAAAAGCTGAATGGATTGGTTTACCGTGCAGAATATATGAAATAAAAGTATTTGGCTTGCAAAGATACAAAAAAAGAAAAAAAAAAGGAAAAGTAACACTCTTGCAAGTCTGCTGTACGATGTGAAGCAAGCAGGTGGTTTTTCAACACAAGCTGTAAAAAGATTCACTGACCATTAGCTCTGAATATTTAATTTTGCGCCGTATAAACATTTAATACGGCTGACCCACATTCCACACGTGCCCAAAGATAGATTAGTCATTAGAGGATTTCAGCTGCCATGTGCGCTCATTTTAGGGCCTCAATTTCCTGCTTTCTGTACAAGTCAATGAGCTATCACGCCGTGTGATTTCAATTAACACATCTGACGACAAGATTGCACAAAATACATAAAAAATTCATGGGGTTTAAAGAAGATATCTTGGATTCTTATGTTAATGTAACTCATAATAAGACATTATTGTTTATTCATGACGGCACTGCAGCAATTGTCCAACACGGTCCCACAGTTTCTCCGGTGAAGTCTTTCCGAACTGGAAGAAATCTTTCCCTCGCCGTCTTGTTTACATTGGGTGTTATTGGCCCAGGCAGGTCTCCCCGCAGTTTCTTCCCTCCCCATGCATTATACATGCACTCGCGTCAGACGGATCAGAGAGAGATGGTAGCAGGGGATGAGAGTCTGATTGGAGGCAAGTGGAGGGAGGTAGGAAATTGTAAAGCTACAGAGCTTTAGAGGTGATGGAGCCAAAAACAAAAGTAAATCCTGATCAAGATGCTGCTGTGCAAGAAAAGGATTCCCATGGGAATCGAGTGGAAGATCAAAAGGAGGATGGTGAGAAATGGCAAATGTCGACTGTGGGGGAGATAAGATAACCATATGTGTCGAAGCACACCCATGTGTTGAACCACTTTATGGTGACAACAGGGTCCAGTGGGGCGTATTGTTTATGCTGTTCATTTGGCTGAATACTAAATAAGAAGCAGAAGGCTGGCTCAACAGTACCAAAAAGTGCAGTGTTGTCTAGTTTAGTTTCTGTATTGCTATGCAAGAAGAAAATCTTTCTTGGTACACAGCAGCATCTTCATCAGATTTTCTTTCTTTTTTTTTTTACCTCTTCGCACATTGAAGTTGATCTAGACTCATTTTCTTAAACTCTAAACATGACATCTCAGTTTTTGCTTTATTCTAACAGAGTTTTATGGATTCCACTAATCTCGGAGCAACAGCAGGAGGGTTACGTTTGCATGTACAACCTAAAGTTACAATAAAAAAAAATTATCATGGAACCTTATTCAATAAAACTGCACAACACCTGATTTTTTTTTTTTTATCAAGTATAGGTATTCCTGCAGATGAGTAGGCATTTCCAAAGGAAGGCTTTTTTCAAGGGACACACCAGACTGGACAAGCACAAAACGGGGCTTTACTCAAGCACACCACCTGATTGGATGATAATTTTCTTTATATCATTAACTTACTTTTCTACCCTAACATTGGATTTTCATATTTATTTATTTAGTTTCACAAACTTGCTGTTGTAACTGAGGTCATTAGAAGACTTGGAATAATAACAGCCAGCAGATTATGCTAGCCGCCAGGCCAGTGTTTGACTCGACGTCTTAAATTTATTATTTCCTCCTCTCTTAATAAAGAGCTCCAGGTTACATTTCAAAGAGCAACATCAGTCGGTAGTGCTTTGTTTATTTTTTTATTTTTTATTTTTTTTATTTTTTTAGACATTTAGAAGTAAGGAGAACTAAATGTTTGTTTTTAATTATTCATTGTGATTTTATTTTTAAAAAATAGTTTTTGGCTTCTAAAATTAATGTGAAAGTAGTTAAAGTCAAACGTGAAAGAAAAACAAAAGAGAAGAACCACTTTTTGAAAGAATGAGCTAATACAACTAGCCAATCTGTGTTTATGCTTGAGAAACGCTTAAGTCTGCAGAGAACCCCTTCTCATTTTTTTTACTCCAGTTTTGCACCCTATATATCAAGGGTGTCCAATTCTGGTCCTCATGGACCACTGTCCTGCATGATTTAGAGGTTTCTCTGCTCCAACACACCTGATTTGAATGAATGTGTTATTAACAGGCTTCTACAGGACTTGGAGAGGTAATTCAGTGAGTGAATCAGGTGTGTTAGAGCAGAGAAACCTGCAAAACATGCAGGATAGTGGCCCTTAAAGGCAAGGATTGGCCACCGCTGTCCTATATTTAGTGTCAGATTCAAAGTAAATAATGCTAAATATGGAGGTCATGTGACTCTTTGCATGCCCAAACCACCCACGTCAAACCCGTTGGCCCAGGGCATCAAAGCATTCAACATGACCACCTCCACTTGTTGAAAATTGGGAAATACAACAAAGATATTTTCTATCTACCAAAAGAAATTGTGTATTGAGGACGGTAAAATCCAGACCAAAAATCACATTTTCTGACACTGAATATGGACCTTTTTCTGAGCTGGAAAAGTTGCTTGGTTGGACTTAAAATGTAAGATTTATCCTGGTATTTAGAACAAACTCAAGCTCTAGAAAAGTCAGGTTTGTACTAGGTGTGCAACTTCATTTCAATACGATGTTAAATTGATTTGTTCAGATGAAGATACAGTGTTTCTCTGTATCAAAAAAATCTGTCATGACATGATTTTGATTCAATTCAATTCACAAGTTTTCAATTGATATGATACATTGCCACATGCATATCTAACACATTAATCTATGATTGTGTTAGATATTCATCAAACCACATCGGGTGTATGATAATGAAATTTATTGATGTTTTCATTTTGCCTTGATGTAATTGAATCGTTACACTAATTGATTATGTTCACGTAGTTTATACACTGATAGTGAAGTGTACATACATACTTTTTTGACAACTGTTTTGTAGATGAAACTATCCGTCACTCATCACTGAAAGGTAAACAGTGCATGCTCTAAAATTTTCAGATGAATGTGAGAAAACTGCAACAGAAAAGAGTGGGCAGAGCAGTTTGAGGCGCACATCTCCCTTTGCATGACTTTAATAATTTGACAAGTGTGCAAATCAGGATTAGCAGCTGCAAAAGCCACACAGTATTTACACAGTTCTGCATTATGTTGTTTGCATTCACCAAGGTTCAGAAAAATGTATGAATTTTAAAACTTTCGGTATTTGATGGAAGTTTGTTGACATCGTAAAAAAATGCACAGATTTTTGTGACTTTTTCTCACTTGATTTCCCTTCAAAAACATTTTGATTATTTCTGTTAAACTTAAAAAAATCTGAACACAAAGTAAGGCTTTTTTTCTTGCAGGAGACGTTTTTAAGCTTTCATCATTTAAACAGCCTTTAAACATAGCTGTCAGTTTTTTTATTACTTTTTAGTGAGTAAATCAAGTTTTTTTTTATCCTGGCTAACAGAAAAATATCCAGCAATCCCCTTTCTTTCCCACTGTGACAAGCTTTCAAAATAATACCTTAAAAATAAGCTTTTTTTAAGAGTAAATGCATTTTTTATGCTTTGCGAATGAGATCGTTTGTTGTTATTTAACAAAAGATGATAGACGAGCGAGTCACAGTGCACCTCTGTGGAAAACAGGTTTTTAAATATTTGGCATCATAGCTGCAATATTTGTGTTGCTGCAGAATATTCATCCCAAAGCTGTGATGTGGCTCTCACTACAGACACTTCGTAACCACATCTCGAGTGCTCCCTCTAGTCCCGCTAATGAAAACACACCACCTGGTCTCCCCAATGGGGTCAATTGGTTCTGTAATTGCGAGTGACTTGAATTTTTTTATTTTAACTTTCATTTTCTCCGCTCTGCTTGCCTACCCTACTCTAGATATGAGTGTGAAGGAGTCCTTTAGGCTCGTAATAAAAAGGCTAATGAGCTACAGTGCACACTCGTAATCGCGTGTGTTTCGCTGAATTCTCTGCGGACGATGATGTCACCGGCTGGTGAAATAACTGGTTGTTTTCCTTTGATCGGGGGAACAAAGCAGGGAGGCGTGAAAGGACGTAATTTTGCTATTAGCCATCTGACTGCTTTGAAGGATGTTTAAATCCCTTGATGTCACCTGGGTAATCTAAATTTTAAATATCTCACTGGCTTAGAAATCTCTCTGGGGTGTGTGGGAGGGGGTTGCTTCTAATTTCTGTCCTTGTTTTGAACACATCATAATTTTCTTTCTGATTTTTTTTTAGTGTCATCTCACTTCCTCTTATGCCTTCCTATGTTTTGACCCACCAGGTGGCCCAGCTCCCTCTGGCCGTGAGTGACGGTCGCTGGCACCACATCTGCATCACCTGGACGACCAGAGATGGCTTCTGGGAGGCTTACCAGGACGGCGAGCGCCTCGGCACCGGAGACAACCTGGCCCCCTGGCACCCAATTAAACCGGGAGGGGTGATCATCCTGGGCCAGGAACAGGTGAGGCTGAAAACTTTGTTAATAACTGAACAAGTGTGTGTGTGTGTGTGTTTTCTGTTGGACGTGCCTGTAAGATGTGTATTTTTAGTGCCCGAGGCACAGAGCAGGGAGCAAGGGAGAAAGAGTTAGCAAAGCTCTTCTCACGCTACTGTGGCCCTTTCAGTTTCACCCTACTCATCTGCCTATAAACTGCACAGAAACCCCCCCGTGGGAGCCATGACGGAAAGTTATACATTTACTCCATGACATCATCCTATGTGGTTTTAATTTTTTTTTTTTTATCTATAGTGACACGTGAATTACCTCTGCTGAGATCATTTTTGCTCATAAATCATTGCTTTAGAGCCAGTGGGGATGATGCTGCTTTTATATTTTGAACATGAACACGTAGGAGATTGCTGCAGATTGCACAATGTTAGAAACAGCACAGCTCTAGGATAGTTTCAAGCGGTGCAACCTGCTCAGAAAAGAACTGAGGTTAATGTTTCATTGACTTAAAAACTAAACGTGTTTACATAACATGAATATATTAGTGCAGCACTTCAGATCTTTTAAAGTCATGTTCTGCGGAAAGGTCATAAAGAATTAATATTTTGCCTTTTGTTAATAGCTCTTTGAAGGCCCCACAGTTTGGACATGGAGTTGAATTCTGAACTAATTAACAACCTAATGGTTAGCCCACGCACAGCCATGATCAATGTGCACTGAACCGATTCTCTCATTTTTGGATCTTTTTGTACAACTGTTGGTCCTTAATATTATCCATTTGCTTTGATTTACTCCTATAAAGTTTGTACAAATAATGTGAAAGCATTAACAAAAGAGAAGTGGTTTTATTCACCTAATTTAAGTGATTTAGACTTAACCTGAAATATTTTCTTTTTAACTAGCCCTTAAAAATACACTGATCAARGCCAGATTTAATAAATTAATACATAATTGCTTCATTGCGAAAGAGAGAATTAAAAACGTTTGTTCCTCAACATCATTTCATTCAACATCCTGTTTGAGTGCACTAAAAATATTCCCTGTTGCTTGGCAGATGAAGTCGATTTAAGTCAAATCAGGTAAAATTGTTCTGTTTCTCCTTAAAAGGACATCGTCGGAGGCCGATTCGACGCAACCCAAGCCTTCGTTGGCGAGCTGAGCCAGTTCAACATGTGGGACCGAGTTCTGCGGCCCGTGGACATCGTGGGCCTGGCGAACTGCTCGGCCTACATGCCCGGAAATGTGGTCCCGTGGATTGATGCGAACGTGGAAGTGTTTGGAGGCGCGACTAAAGCTGCTTTGGAAATCTGTGAAGATCGTGCTTTTGACTCCTAGGTGGGGGTGCGGGTGTGACAAAAACAGAACCTGAGCACGGCCACAGGGATCTGGAAGCTGAGTACCCTTACTGCTGCTTTTGTCAAATCCTAACAGCAAAGGTGGAAGTGCTCTAAGTCTGGGCGTTTATTGGATTTACAAATTCACATCTTATATAGTTTGAATGCTGAGGACACTCCAGGAGACTTCAAATCATCAGAGGAAGAACGCTGGTGCACCTGTCTGCTGCAATGATCAGACCTGCTGTCGTTTTGTCTTTTTTTGTTGTTGTTGTTCTTTTAGTAGCTCACCTGTCATTTGACTTCTCTTTGAAAAATATTTCTTGTCGGTTGCATTCCTTACTTTGACAATGCTGCTCTGTTTTCCTTGTTAGTGTGAGCTCAAACAGGCTTTGATGTGCTGGGGGAACGGCGGTTGAGCGCCACACGCTGTAGCATTGTCGTAAGACGGAACGCACGCGCCTGAGTTTGAAACGGACTCGAGCGGGTCTCCCTGCTGATCGTTCCAAGGCATCAAAACATGCGAAGGTTGTCTGGATGTGACGCATGAGCTTGAGCAGTGCCTGTTTTTTCTGTCATCAAGCTGCGCTGCGTCGAACCAAGCCAATGCAGCGCGCTGACAACATTACATAAGGCCACGTGTGTGCTTCTGTCTTGGCTTGTTTTTTGTGTACAAAACCCAGAGATTAAGACAGGAATGTTTTTTTATTATTATTATTCTTTTAAATCGATGTCTAATACCTCATTGCCCCTTGAGCAGCTGCCACTTCCCAAACAGCTGTATGGACGGGCAGGCTTCGCTCGGGTTAATATCGGTGTCGGACAGATGCCCGGCGTTGGTGAATCCACGCCAGCTGAGTGCTCTGTGAGGGGCGGGGAGCTCAGTCTGACCCTCAAGGACGAACTGTAAGTCCTCCCGTGGGCTGCAATTATCCATGTTTATGAATGAGTGTGGCAACGAGTGGCTCTGATCTTCTGGCGTTTCTCCAAGGGTGTCATCRTGGATAAAATGTAGAGATGTAGAGGCAGCACTCTGTAGACATAATGAATGTTGGAGACGGAGTTGGGTCTTAAAAGGATGAATCAGTTCGTCTGAAGCAGGGGTTCTGTGGGAAAAGTTATAAACTATTAATTTCTCACCTGTTGTGGATCGCCTTTCAAAGAAAAACCCCTAAATTTAGAGAAATAGTTTCTTTCTGACAAGACTGACAAACTGTAGTTCATGTAGGGCTAAGACCAAAGTGGACTCCTGCCCTGAAGCCTTTACATTGATAAAAATTTCACATTACTCTGTTATTCTAGTATAAATATTATACTATTCCTACCAGAGCTGCCCTAGGCTGCACTGGAAGTGCTACTATTGTTACACTTGCAAACACTAAGAGAATTCTATGTAAATATAGCTATGTAATAATAAATTGATGGTGCTGTCAGGGCTTAGAAACCTGAACTTATTGGTCTTACTTGGATTATTTCATCAGTCCACCCAGAATGCATAAATCCTGACACACATGCACCTACAGGACTGGGTCAAAGGTCCATCAAAGACATGCTCAGCTCAGCTGATATTGAGCATGATGATGTTTTGAGAAAAGCAGCCATTATTAGCTGTCTTGTTTGTTTCTTAGTTAATATTTTTGCAATGTTTGGCCACAATTGATAGACAGTCTGGTTCTCGTCTCGCTTACTTCATTGCTTCACATCTTTGTTGATTCATTAAGTGCATTTGTAAAACCTAAAATGGACATTGTAAAAACACAGTTTGTGCAAAAACAAACTATTGGTTCGCTCCCCAGTCAACTTTAACAGAGGACCAAGCATCCTAAAATGTTTAAAGGGGACATATCATGCAAAATCAATTTTTTAACCATTAAATGTCTTTGGTTGTGTACTTGGAGTCTCTAGGAGTGCAGAAAAGTTTAATTTAGTCTCTCCTGGTGCTGTGTAGACATCTTTATATCCTGTTTGGGTCATATGTTTTTTACCATCCAGTTTTCTCTATTCCCTTTTACGCTTTCTGAACTATTACRTCACAGTATTTGCAACAGAACTTCTAGTTAAGATATATTACCAACTAACCAATTTTTTCATTTTCATTCTCCTCTTGCTCTGGGTCWGACTCTGGCTAAAACGTGATGGACAAGTCTTCCCTTGTTGACATCTTTCAATTAATGTGTAAATAAATTTTTCCGTGCGGCTATATAGCCGTAAACTCCTCTTAAACTACAATGGGCCACTCAGGTAGCTGGAGTGGGGCAGGTTGCAAAAGAGACAGACTCAACACAAGTTGATGTGAGACACACCTCAGAAAAGGGGTGAAAGACGGGCTTGTGGAGTTACAACAAGGAGGAATTCAGACCAAAGCATTTCAGTTCCAYTCTATATAGACCCCGACTGAATGATTTAAATGAGAAAAAGAAGGATTTAAAAGCATGATTTGTCTCCTTTAAATRATGCTTTAGAGATATCAAAGAGCATAGCATTACTAAGATATTTCAGGAAATTGTCCTCACCACCTCGTAGCTACACTTCAGTGACTCGTGTATATCTTTGGTACCAGCTGTGGTCCAAAAATGGCATGAAATAATAACTAAGAAATAAAAAGGACAGGCTAATATTTACTGTTTTTCCTGACCTCCATTTAAGTAAGATACAATAACCGAGATCGTTCAAGGCCATCTACARCAGGTAAGATATTTATGATTCATAACATTTTCATGGAACCACTCTTCAAAAGATTTTAAGTTTTGCTTTAATTCCTTCCTTTTCCTACCACAATAAAAGTTATAATCTGTGCTATATATTTTTTTTAAATGTATGGAGTGTGCCTGGTGTATTTTGCACCTATGATACTATTAATGGCAGAGTTGAGGGGACGGTTTCTATTTCACATGTAAGCATTTATATAAAAGCTTGTGTCCACAAAAACAAACACATAAATAAAATAAATAAATATTATAAATATATGATGCTGCAGGTAGCTGAACAGCACTGAATGTTGAAAAAGTGAACGTCGATGATGACGATGACCAGACTTGTGATTGTTTTTTTTCTCTCTGTCTTTTAATTCCAGATGTTTTAGTGTAAAAGTCTTCTTTAAAATGTATTTTCTTGTTTTCTTCTTCTTCTTCTTTTTTTTTTTTTTTTTTGCTCATGACTTTTTAATTATTTGCCCATTAGCGTCACATCCAGAAAAAAAAAGCAGAAATGCTAAAAATGTTTAACTATTGAATGGCCTTTTGTAACAACCATATGTGCTTATTTTTTTTCTTTTTTTGCTTGTGGACATTTTAAACTTTTAGCTTTTTGTAGCACAGCACAGAAAACCACTGACACAAGACGACGATGACGGTGTACAGTTTCATTATCGAGCCACTCTGCCATTAAAACTGATGTTTCTTTGCTCTCAGTTAAAAGAGTCAGCCAGTCGCAGAGGTGTGACGTTTAGTGCAGATGTGTCAGAATAACTTAACAGCTGTTTCGACAGTTAAAGCATGTTTTATGAAATTATCACCGCGCTGCATTAGAGATGAAGTCAAAGTGGAGTGTAAGCCAACCAAGGTCGTGCTCCATTCTTCGTGATTGATTCTGAATAAAAAAATCATGCTTTAATCTTTGATAGAGATTAAATAAAAAGGTGTTTTTTTTCTTTAATGTCATTGTTTGAGATGATGAAGATGCAAGTTAGGAGCAATACTGTTTGTAGGATTGGCTGTAATACTGGTGGTGAGTGTTTGTCCTCTCGTGTGGACAATGAAATGTTGTCAACAGTGGAGAAATCCTCGGAACTGGCTGGCATCCACATGAGGAGGGGAGGGGAAAAAATTTAAAAAAAATGTCTGCCTGTGTGGATTACGAAAGCAGCTACAATGTAGGACACTGTGAGCCTTCTCCTCTCTGACGCTGTGTCTCGATGCTTTTAGGTGTACTGGTGGGGTTGTTTTTAAACAGAACCCCACCTCCTGACCACTATAATTAATTTGCAATGTGAAATATGTGTTATTCATTTGAATTTTGTTTTAAAGTTATCAATGCGTTGCTGCTACAGCAAAACACCCGTTCTGTTCTGAAATGTTACCAAGAAATTATTTATGAAAAAAAAAACAACAACTTGTGTTTAAATAAATGATCAATTCAATGGTTTGTTTAAAGCACATGTTGCATATTCTTTTCTCAAAAGTCCTAAAGTCAAAGAGAAATCATTTAAAGCTGGGTATGTTGTAAGTTTATGAACAGTGAATATCTTACCTGTTATAGATAGCTCTTTGAATAGTCTCAGTTTGGAGAAATATAAATGTCATTGTTTTCTAATAGGGAACTTTTAAAGCCATTGTATATAGAATACTTATTAACAAACGGTAATAGTGGCTGCAGCAGCTAGCTGTAGCACTTCCAGGTAGCTGACCAACCCTGTCTTGTCTTTAAGGCCCACTTCTAAGACGAGCAACGTCTGTGCATGCTGGAGTTTGACACTACACATAAACAACTGATCATTTTTTACCTGATTCATGATTTTTTTTCTCTTCTTCTAAAATTACCTTATAACTTGAAGCACTCGGAGAGTGCAAATCTCCGCCAAGTCCAATTTCCCCCATCCTGTAAGAGTTAATGCACAAAAGCAGAGATAGAAACACATTTGCCCAATAAGTTCTGACGTAGCAAACATTTAAGCAGGCAGTATGCACAGAATTTCTTCTTGGTGGAGTCCAATGTGAAAAAAAAAGTCAGACTCGTCACCCGACGTTATTCATCGTCAAACTTGTGTCGGATTAAGCTCCTAAGTTTTCATCAGTCACATTTCACCRTGTAAAATGTCTGTTTTATCCCCTTGTATGAGTTTGTAATGGTTTGACTCTCTTTATAAGGTGCTTCCTGGTACAGTCGCCTCATGAAGCAAGTGGGTCAGCAGCGTGACCGAAAACATTACCTCGTCCCTGGTCTCATTTAAATAATAAAAATGAACAAACAAACAAACAACCTCCGAGTCTGAAGTCCACCGCAGCTAAGCACGTCACTCCTCTTCCTCATTCTTCATCTATCTGTGTACAAGCCTACCAACAATGTGGTGTGTTCGAGGAAATGGAAAAAATAGGTTTCATGGTGCAGTCACGCACTTCCTGGTCACAAGACGTTCTCTAAACGCGCACCAAATGCGTAAAAAAATGTGCACATTATGGCAAGATGGCAAGACTTAGGCTACATTCACACTGCAGGCAAATCCGACCCAAATCTGATTTTTTTTTGACCCATCTGACTCATATCCGATGATTTTATGACAGTCTGAACGAGACAAATCAGATTTTTTCAAATCCGRCCCAGGCCGTTTCAGTGTGTGGTTTTAAATCGGATACATATCTGATGTTTTCAAAGTGACTGCAGTGTGAACGCTCATGTCACATTCATCTGATTTTTTCTTCAGGAGGAGGGGGTGAAGGATCGATAAGACACTAAACTCAAGTCTCGCTGTTTAAATCTGTAGCTCCRTGTGTTTAYAGCTCCAAAACACAAGTCCAGTTGCTTCATCTTTTTACTTTTCATTTTCCACGTAGATAGTATAATAATAATGGTCCAGCCTGGGTCGCAGAGAGTATCGATCCTAAAGTTAGCTACTCGGTCGATACTTTTTTCCAGCTTCTAGTTTCGTTTAAAATAAAGCTTCACTGGAGCATCCCGGTCAGAGGCAGCTTCAGATATAAACACTGAACTAAAGAAGCAGGTCAGATAATTATTTAAGCAGCTCTGATTAAACAACAACTTCAGATTCGATGTGCAAAATGTAGCATCCATCTGTAAACAAACAAGCCGGCTGATGAGACGTCACGTCTTTCACTGCGCATGCG